CTATAGGATATATTGCCAAATTCAACAATTAAAACCTTCTTGGGGAAACATAAGATATATACTTGAAATTAAGAAACATATTCATATATAAATGAGGGTGCAATAAAACTTAGCATTGCACGTAAAAGTGGGGATTCCTGATACTGTAGGTCTAAGATACATTAATAAGTTTTCCCATATCCAGAGGACTTACAAAAAAATCCCCCACAGAAAACACAATGAAAACGAACAAGACTGACTTCATAGGATGAATGTAAATCTGTTAAAATGTATTTAATAAAATATCCATACTTTAACTGTTATTACTAATATATTCCAGTGACATTATTCAGACTAATAATGAGCTATTTGTTCTTCTCAATGCTATTTTTAAAATAGTCACTATAAATCTATACCACCCATGAATTAAGTAGCCATGAAGTACATGTTGCTACTGAGCAATTGAAATATGACTATTCCAAAATAAGACATATTATCAGCATAAAATATTTCTGGATATTGAACACTTAGCATGAAAATCTGAATAAAAATATCTCATAAATAATTTTATATTTGCTGTAGGTGTTTATGATAATAATCTGGGGATACTGATGAAATAAAATATATTATTAAATTAATTTTACCTGGTTTTATTTTTAATATGGGAACTAGATAATCTCACATTGTATATATTGTATGATATTTCTACTGAACCATATTACTCTAAGCACTTTGTTTAGAATGTTTAAAGAAAAAAACTTACTGCAAGTTGATAACATTTTAGCAAAATATCTATGTCAAAAGGGTCATAATTTTAAAATATGACCTAATACATTATCATCTTTTCTCTGCCCAAATATTTTCAGTGATGAGAAACTGCTTTAAATTTACCACTTAAAAATATGGTAACTCTAATAATTTGTTCTTATGTTAATCTAAAATTCAGGCCCCAAATAATTTATTTTATTTTTTGCAGTACTGGTGATTGAACTCAGGACCTTGAGCTTGCCAGGCAAGCACTTATTCTACTGAGCTATCTCCCCAAGCCTCCAAATAGTTTCTACCCTTTAATTGTAGTTATTCACTATGGAGCAACAAAGCATAATTCAAATCCCTAATCCCCATAAAGATCTTTGCAGGATGTAATGTAGTCTTTGGCCAAGAATTCTAGATCATTTTATCCTGATAATGAAGTCTAAATTTTCATTATCTTGTCTTTTCACTAGCTAAAAATTAGAAATAATATCACCTAAAATCTTTTTACATGTGCCTTTTATTAAATACCAGATAATTCAGCCCAGTCTTCTGACTTTTGTACTTAGAATTTTTTTCTTTTAAAGAGTTCTTGAAATATTTGTTCTCCTATCTCATCACCCCTTTTTTAGCCATTCATCCACTTTTTTTTCAGGAAATATTTACTAATGAGCACCTATTGTGTATACCTGGTATAACTCTACTTAGAACAAGACAAACAGCTCATCTTCTGGTGTCTGTGAAACTTCCTCTCATTATCTTTGTAGTTTTCTACACCTTTTTTTCTTCAAAAAATTATTTGTGGAAATTCTGCTTAGGGAAACATACATGTAATCTTTGGGATCTTCCCTGAGACCACCTTCTACTTTACTGCAGATTAATTAATCAATGATTTTGTTGTTCAGGATGATAAAACTTCATAAACTGGAGCCTAACTTTCTCTGTGTTCACCATTAATATCTCATGAGTTTATCAGATATCTTAGGAAATAAAAGTGGTTAACTTACAAAATCCACATCTGTAAAGCTCAGAGATGTAGAACTGAACCACGGCATGTGTACAATTTTGAGAGTAAACAATAAGAGCCAAGATTGATTGAGCATTTATTTGTGTCATATGGGTACATAGAATTTGAAGAGAAAATAATAGCCAAGCTTCATTGTGTATTTTTAAGTACCAGGCATTCTATCAATATAGATGATCCTCGCAGCAGCCTTATGAGGTAGATATTCTTATTCCTATATTATAAATAAAACTGAGGCTCAAAAATGAATAATTTAGCTAATAAGTGATGGGGCCCAGGGCCAATACATGCACTTTCACTGCGGATCTTTTGTTGATTTAAGAGAAGATAAAAGACATTCAGAGGAACTTTGGGGTGCATAACAAAAGATCACTGAATGGGCTACAAGGAAAACCTACATTATGAACCCTTTAAAAGCTGTGAAGGTCTTTGGGACAAGACTATCGTGTTTCAGTTTGGACTTTATTTTATTTATATTTATTAGATCCATAAGGATCTTGATTAGACAGATAGGAAAATGAAAACATTTTGGGGGAACATAAGGACTTGACCACTCTGCACAGGCTGGAATTGATTGGGCAAAAAATACAGTGTTGTACACTTTGTAGGAAGTTATTATCTGTTCCAGGTAAGGACTCAGAAAGATGGTGTGAATCACAATTACAAAGCAAGTGCATCATCACAAATTAACATTTATTTTATATCTATCAGCTAATAGAAAAAGATGTCCAAGTATGACATGATTTGTAAGGTGTGATTGAAAATATAGTGAATATGTATTTTTAATAAAATGATTACAGTGAAATTTGTTGCCATCATTTTAAAATATTCCTCTTGACTTTGAACGCACTTGTCCCAATGTTCTTACCAATTTCTGAAGCAGTTGTAGAAGTGCTCTTTCATGACTAGTTGTGCTCTCGTGAGTGCCTTGAAGTGCTGAATCCATTCAAAATATTTATCATTCATGGTTCAACTTTGAGGAAGAACCAGAAGCTACATAGTGCAAGATCTGTGAAATATAGTAAATGAGGATGCACTGTAAAATTTTGTAATGATATATGAGTTTGCCTTTGTGTTGGATGGCATTTGGCAGGAACATTCAGTATTTTTACCATACCTACTCAGTTATTCATAAAAAAGGACTTCGAGAACTGCTTCACAAAGTGGGAAAAACAACGAGGTAAGTGTATTCAAAGCAAAGAGGTATTTTGAGGGGTATTAAAAAGAGTGTCTCATATACTGTATTTTTAAAACTGTAAACATTCACTGTATATTTCAATCACCCCTTACATATTTTAACTATGGAAGACAGACAAATGCTGACTGAACTAGGGAAGTTTTTGTCACAAGTATTGAGGGCAAAAGATAATGAGCTCATTTCTAAACAATGTAAAGTAGGAAATTGGCCAGCTGTTGGTCAGTAGAGTTTGGAATTCAATAGTGAGGTCACACCTAAAGATGATAATTTAAGAGCCAAAATTATAGTTAAATCCATGGAAAGAAGTATATTTTACTATAGAAGAAATATTGGGAAAGGGTTTAACAGGCCCAAGCTGTAAGCTTTGGAAATTACGCTATTTGAATATATCAAGAGAAGATGAGCTATAGAAGAAGCAAGTAGAAGAAAAAAAAGTAAATCAGACTGCAAATAGAGACATGTTATTTCAATATCCAAGTTTGAAATGTTTTTTGGACTTGATATATTTTACATTCATGAAATCATGTGAAAATGTAGTTGCCCTTATTAAGCATCAGCAAATGTGAACACCCATTCAATAACATATCATTACATTAGTATTATATAATTATGATTTGATTTTGAACAACTGAAATTATCTTACTTTTACAACTCTTTAAATATTATGATTTTACAATAGAATTATGGTAATAATATTGAGATTGTAACATCCTTTAAGCATATTTATGGTACTTAAAACTGTACTGGTTCAAGAAACTATTGTGGTATTTCAAATGACAAATGGTCACTATATTTTAAAAGTACTATGAGAACAAGTCACTGTTCAAAGGATGCTGTGGAGATATTGAACTGCCTCGAAACTATGTGTTTATTCACATTGCGTATGAAAATCATGTCTTCATGAATAGTCTTAAATTATCTACTTATATATCAGTAACAGATTAGGTACTGTATTTGGTTTGTCCCTGAACACTTATACTAATTGTTCTCCAGAGTTTTCATCTAAGAAAAATAGGGTAAAACTCTGACTGGGATTGTGACTGAGAAAGAAGAGGTAGAGATGATGACTGTGATCATCCTGGACATAAGACACTGAGAGTTGTTCCTACATTGGTTTTACAAAGGGAAATTACTGAAAGAAAATCAAATTTCTGCAGAGCAACTGCAGGATTTTAAAAGTTGTCAGGTATAAAGTATTCTCCAGGGTTATGATTGGAAAAATTAAATACAGAATAAAGATCAAGTAAGAAGCATATTCCATTAACACAATTTTATTGAAATAAATGCTTCCTCTTTTTTGGAATATTTGATGTTCAGTGTCTTTGTTTCATCACTCCTTTTCAAGTATTTCATTTAGAACCTAAAGGGATTTTAAAGTATTTGAGACTGTGGTCAGTATCAATTTCAGAATTAAAGAGACTGATTTTTATAAGGTTGAAAAAGATATTTGGATACTTCATGTGAAATATTCTAGGTTTGTTCAAGTGAATTGATTTGTGCCACCTAATAAAATATTTCTGATTCAAGCTAAGAAAACCATTAGTTTTCTTAGGAGAGCATGCCTGTCAATTTTGCTATGGTAGATCATCATTAAAAATATTTCAGTAGATTACCATGTATTATTTTTAAGACGAGGGTGATAATTCTACATTTGTACCTCTGATTACATTTTTTGATGAATGAGGTAATTTTTGATAAGACATATTTACTCAATTGGTATTTAAATTAAAATGTAACATAAGATTAAAATCAACTGTAGAATATTAAAAATTAGCCCAATAAAATATATGTAAAGTCACTTACATACCACAGAATGATGAATTGCATTACCTTGCATGTATCTTCAGCTATGATGCTGTTAACTGTCCTTATTTGCATCCTCAGATACTTTCTCACTTGTATTTCAAAACTTTCATAAAATATATTATGGAAACATAATGCATGTTATTAGTTTAGCAACAGGAGGTTGCATAAATGTATTTCTTTTGGTTTATGTTTCTAATAAAAAGTAATTTTGATTTAAATTAGCACTATCTTTTTTTTTAGGCCTCCATTCCTTTGAAGGAATTGGAGCAGTTTAACTCAGATATACAAAAATTGCTTGAACCACTGGAGGCTGAAATTCAGCAGGGGGTGAATCTGAAAGAGGAAGACTTCAATAAAGATATGGTAAATTGGTTGTGATAAAAGTGTGAATGAAGTAGGAGTGAAAATGAATAAATATGGGGAAGGAAATTAGATAAGTCACGTCTCCAACTGAACTCTCAGAATACACCTGACATATTGTGTGATTCTAATGATTTTTATAAATGCAAATTATTCTTGTTGACCTTTCATTATGAATACCAAATTACTATACTATTGTCATATGGGAGTATTGTGAATTTTAATAAATAGTTGAATTTTGCTTTGACCTGTGCTACTTTTGAATTCTGGGTAGGGGAATGTTATAAAAAGGAGCCACTTTGAAAATAAACTAGAAAATTAATTAATTCACCGATCATAGATAGGTGATGTTCTGTGTCAGAGGTACAACTTCACATAATATAAACATTGTTTACTAAGGTTTCCCACAAGATGGTTTTACCAAAAGTTGAGTAAATAGTATGTGTTTAAAACATGTATAAAGATCTGGCCAAACAGCTCGGGGATTAAAGCTCTTGTAAGCAGGCCCAAGGGCCCGGGTTTGGATAGTGGGCCTGCTGTGTGGCCCCGCCCCCGGGACTTGGTGAGACAATTCAGACTGGGCACGGTGGTGCGCGCCTGGAATCCCAACTCTTGGGAGGCTGTAAATAGATGGGTCACTATGATTCTGATCTAGTAGTGAGACCATGAACTCCCTGTAGACCCTTCCCTAAAATACAAAACAAACAAACAAACAAAAATCATGTATACATCCAAGGTACTTGATAGGAGTAGAGAAATATTACCCCATGAGCTAGTCATAAACTCCAAACGTTTATTCAATCTTGAATAAATTTCAAAAGGTCTTTCTTATCTTTCCCTGTGGCTTGAATACTGCTGCTTCACAGCCCTTTTCATTGACTGTTTACCTTCCCTCCTCCGTCTCCTTTCCACAATTTCTTTTCTCCTCTTCCACTGCCATCACTTCTGTGGCCTTCTTAACCTTTATATGTATCATTCTGGAGATTTTCAGAATTATTTTAATGACAGTGACCTCTCAGACAATGCTCTAAAATGAGATCAGAGGACAATATATAAAATTTTAATGGTAGGCATGTGAAGTAATAGGAGAAATAGCTCCACTCACCACGCTCCCCACCGGTATCAAATTTGACTTCCTTGATCTTCCTTAACCAGGAGACCCCATTACTGGGTTGTGGTGGCCTTGCTAATTCAGCTGGTGGAAAGACAAACAGGAAGAGTCTTTCCAAACTGCTGAGTTCCTACTGCCTCTGCTTCATTTTAAAGAAGAAAGCAGAGGACACTGAGGTGAAACAGTGCTGTTTATCTCTTAGCCTAAAGACAGAACCTTCCCTGGAGCCCTTACCTGGTTGAGGGGAAATAAATGAAATACATGTTTTCATATTCCATTTTTGTTCGCAGACCTACAAAAATGCTATGGTTTTAAATGACATATAAATATGAGAAAGCTATTTTATAGACTAAAAGTATTTGTATTTTGTGCTACATTTCACCAGACTAATAATTTACAAATCTCAAAAAAATTTCATTTTGATTAAATGAAATTGATAGATCTTTACTCATGTATTTGAGTTTATGCATGAATTTTAGATGTTACTATAGTACCATAAAAATAATGCAAGCATACATATGATTTTGAAAATTGTCATTTTTATATTTAGCTTATTAGCATATGCTGAGTACCTTTATATGATGAGCTTGATTAATAGATCATTTTCATTTCTAAATTGAAAGATACATTAAATAGAGATGACAAATAACATGATCACATATCCAAATAGATTATGCTAGAACTTATTCAAGTAATTTTATTTTTAATAAAATTGAATTACATTACAGCATAAAACAGCAAAATACATGTTGAAATTTTTAAATTTATTTTTTCAAAGATTTTTAATGCTGACTTAGTATTCCTTATGACAGTTTAAATTTTAACTATTTATACTATTTGACATGAAATAAATATATCAATTTTTATTAATATACTGCATCCCAAATTTGAATATTTAGGATGCAAAAACAAAGAAGATATTAGATAATAAGTAGAAAAGTTTTAAAGAAAAGTTTCCATGTAATAGTATGTTGCTATTTTAAAACATGTTTCTATCTCTCACTTACATATATACATGTATGTATTTCTATGTAGATCACTTAATGTTGGTAATGACAAGATTGAAATACATCTCCAAACATTTTAACTTTTAGAACCATACTAAAATCAAATTAAAGAATATTTTTTCAAAAATCTCATTTGGTAAAAGAGTTCCTTACTGCCCTAACTTCCAACTATGCCTCTAAAATTATATATATATCACTTGCTTCTCTTAAAAGCTAAAACACAAAACACAAAAGAAATGTTATGAGCACAGTATTTTATAATAACATTCCTTGAAAGTTTTAAATTAGATTTTTGTGTGTGTTTAAATAACATGTTTTGTTATCTCTGTTAACAATGTACAGCTTTTTAGAAACCAAAATGAAGACTGTACTTGTTGTTTTTAATCAGAGTGAAGACAATGAGGGTACTGTAAAAGAATTGTTGCAAAGAGGAGACAACTTACAACAAAGAATCACAGATGAGAGAAAGCGAGAGGAAATAAAGATAAAACAGCAGCTGTTACAGACAAAACATAATGCTCTCAAGGTATTAGAGCTAAAATTATAATATACCTTGCCTGTGGTTTTTCTCATATGTAGGGTAAAATATATTGTGCATAAAAAAATCTGTTTAAGAGTCTTAGTCAACAGAAATTCACATTTTTCTGTTCAATATGTGTTTTATTTAACATTTTTGTTTTCTGAAACTGAAAGTGATATTGCTTAAAGTTTACAATTTTTTTTCAGTTATATTTTCTGAATAGTACTGAAGGACACCAAAATGCACCATTCATAGTAGAATTCCTGCATTTAATTTTCTAATATACTTTGCTGTTATAAGTTATGTTTGTATTTGTGTTGGAAAATTTACACTAATAGCCAAAATAAGCAAGTATATGTTCTCCATTATTCCTGCTTCTATTATATTCTCTGTTTTAGTTATAGTAGATCCAATCTTGATTACTATATTTGTTTAATACTGCTCAAATTTATCTCATCATTTTTTAAAATAAACTTTATTGTACCAGGAAGTCACTCTTTGCAACTAACTGCACATCTATGAGTCTACTTTCACTTATATAGGAATCCTCAAAAATACTTGCAATGTCTTTGAAGAAGAGTTGTTTTAATGCTAAGTAGTAATGTATGGCTTCAAGTACCCATATGACTCACGTGGACTGTACAGAAAGAAGAGAATAAGCTGTTTATTTTTCTGCAGTAATATCTATAAAGTACTTTCAATGAGACTGGACATGTAAAGTTTTGTAAAATAACCTTTTTTCTTATATACTTTGCAATATTCACTCTTCGCATGCATGGCTGATTTTCTAATATTGTTAATTGCCAAGCTTTTCATTGTAAATCACTCTTTTAGAGCTTTGTAGTCTAATACCTAGATCCAACCAGTAGGTGGATGGAATCTGCTTTCTATATGCAAATAAGAGTATAAAATCTTTTTCTATAGTAAACCAAATAAACACTGCTGAGAATGTAATTACACAATATTGTGCCTGAAAGGAATCCACAAGGAAAGTCTAATTGGCCAGCAGGTGTTCTGAAGGTAACTGGTGATAAATATAGTAAATGGAAAAGGCCTCTTCCTTGAGGGGAGTACAAAGAAAACAACAGTGTGCTCAGAAAGTCAGAGAGCTCTGTATCTCTCACCCTTCTGGTTCTGATCAAGCTTTCAGAAGCATCGACTCTGGTCATATGATGACATGTATCCTGGGAATAGCAATATTTAATGGTCACCTGGCATATCACTACATAAATCTATATTATATTTCTAAATATTTTTTCATAAAGCCTTGTGCTTAAGACAAAGATAAAGCACCTGCAAGCAGGCTCAGGGGCCAGGGGCTTGATCCCCAGGTCTGCTGTGCTGGCCCAATCCCTGGGGTGCACTGAGACAGCAATTTAGACTGGGCATGGTAGCATGCACCTGTAATCCCAGCTCTTGGAAGGCCGTAAACAGGCAGATCACTAGGAGTCCGATCTAGCAGTGAGACCCTGAACATGCTGTAGACCCTTCCCTAACAAAAAAAAAATAAATAAATAAAAGAAGAAAATACAAAGATTTTCAGATTTATTACCATCAAGCCCTTTATTTTGGCAAAGATGTGGAATGTGTCAATTGTAATGCTAAATTCAGTTCTCACTAATATGGCTATATCATGGTACCTTTGCAAAAATCAACACTCCATTGGACTCATCACAGACATTTGTTGCTTCCATGGGAGGTTTAGAAATGTATTACAAAATGTGAACTAAAGTCAATTTTATATTGCCAATTTTAGGCAAAATGGAGAAGGAAATCTCAATCATTATTGCAAATATGCTATAAGTGACTAATAAAAACTATGAACTTTGCTTGATAAACTAGTTCGTACCACCAAATTGAGAAACTATGTTCATCTGCCAAGGTTTTCCAATGCTAGTATGTATGAAACATTGCAAGGAAGGTTAAGACTTTCCAATGCAAATAATTTTTCAGACTGTATTTGATAGGCATCATTTTCTTCTGTTCAAATTAAATGTGTACATAATACCCTAATTCCTATCACCTTGAAGAAATGAAACCCATATGTGTAGTTCTTAAGTTCCCAAGAACTGCGTCATAATTATATCAACTAGGGAATACATTTGATTATGTGTATAGGAGCAAGAGTATTGTCCTGTCTTGTTGATTTATTAAATCAGTCACTTATTTTTCTCATTAGGTTGGTTGAAACCCATATACTTTATAAAGTTAATCTTTTAACATCTAGAATATAGTATGGCATAATAATGGAGACAATGCCTATGCAAGCCTTGTCTGAAGGAAATAAGTTTTCTAGTATTTAAATTGTCGTTCTCATGTATATAAACAGCTATAAGAACAGTAGACATACTTCTATACATGTAGCTCAGAACAATTTTTATGATAACCAAAATGAATTTATATTGTAATCACACAATATTTTATAGGCATTTCTGTAATCATGACTACATGAACATACAGTTTTGTTGAGTTAAGGGTTGACAACATAAACATTAGAAATTGAGTTATTTTAGAGTTCAGATGCAAACTCACTATGTTTTTGCCACTATTTGGTTAAGTCAAATATGTTTAGTAAAGTTTTTTATGCAGATCATGCAACAATTGAGACAGCTCATTAAAAGTCAATTAATATTACAAGATTTCTAAACAAGTTTGAACACACAAAGGGAAAATAATATAAGTGTGTTTTTCAAGTTTATTAGTTTGTGTTTATAAGTTTGTCACACACATATGTAATATAATAATTCATCTGTATGTTTTATATTTTGTGGGATTTTAAAACTAAAGTATAGAAAAAAGATAAGGGACTTGAATTACTTTTTAAATAACTACAGGCGACAGTGTGCTATATATATATGTATATATATATATATTGATATTTTAATAATATCTGCACCATGAACAGGATTTGAGGTCTCAAAGAAGAAAAAAGGCTCTAGAAATTTCTCATCAGTGGTATCAATACAAGAGGCAGGCTGATGATCTCCTGAAATGCTTGGATGACATTGAAAAAAAATTAGCCAGCCTACCTGAACCCAGAGATGAAAGGAAAATAAAGGTAATGTTGTTTTAGAATGTCAATATTAGATTTTATTGCTAGTGTAATTACTTAACCCGTAAAGCTCGTGTTTAAAATATAGCTGTTTTTGTTTCCTCTCTTAGCGTTCTCTTTGATTTGATGCACCTCTTTGTACTGTGTTTTGTTTTGGTAAATGTATTGTATTAAGTGTTATTCAATTGACATTATGTTGAACAAATAAAAAGTTTTGATTGTTGACAATGTACAATGAAATAAGCAATGTCACATGTTCTCTTGTAAAATTGTATTGACTTTGTGTATCTTTGTTCCAGATGAAGTAATGACTTATCGGTATATGGACGACTTCTTTCTCATGTTAGCACATTCATTTCACCAGAGCATCTTCACACTTCTGTGTCAAATCTCTATAGATTTATTTGCATATTGTCTGACAATGTCTTTTTCTGTTATAATTTTGCATGTTTTATTTTGCTTCATTCTCTGTTGAGTTCCTCAAAACTTCAAAAGATAAATACTTTACTGACTGGCCCACTAAAATATATTCAAAATGGACAGTCCCTAGTAAAAAATACATCATCATTCCAATTTGAGTGAGCACTCAGAGCACAAGATAAATTCAGGATAAAGAAAATATTACATAAATTTAATATTTTCTTAGCTAGAATATCTAAAATTCAGCATCTAAATGACACCTAGAAATAATATTTGGATCCTTAAGTGAGGATGACAGTGACTCCTTCCAAATTTGTCAATTTTGAAAGTTAGCAATAAAGGAACAACAGCCTATGAAATTTCTGAGAAATATTTGCTGCTTGCAGGTTGGTTGATGTGGTTAGCTAATTGCCCTGGGCCCTGTATTGGTTTTGCTCAATAGGAAATTGATCGTGAATTGCAGAAGAAGAAAGAGGAGCTGAATGCAGTACGTAGGCAAGCTGAGGGCTTGTCTAAGGATGGGGCCGCAATGGCAGTGGAGCCAACTCAGATCCAGCTCAGCAAGCGCTGGCGGGAAATTGAGAGCAAATTTGCTCAGTTTCGAAGACTCAACTTTGCACAAATTGTGAGTTGTTACTAGCAAACCCACATATGTGTTTGCAACTACTACTCTCTTAGCAGAGGCCTACTAACAGCACTACAAATCTAGGTGCAATTTCAAACTTCTAATGTGCATTCGGAAAGCAAGTAGTTCACCTCACAAGGGCTCCTGTAAATTTAGTGCTTAACTTTGTCAGATTAGGGACACAATAAACTAACAGCTATTAGGAACATCTCCCGTTTCAAAAGGGAAAAGTACATCTTAATTTTTTTTTTTTTGCTGCATCATTTTTTCATGACATTGGCAATGTTAATTTGTCAATTTATCATACATTTACTTTACTTCGATGTCTAATCCAGAAATGCGTATTGCTTTCCTGAGATCATCCCATGCTAATTTTACTTTCTTACTGTATAACTGGTAAATAAATAATTTGTGAAACATCATCTTATATTGACCTGCATAAAGCATTATCTCTTTGACTTCAAGCATAGTAGTTTAGTCTGCCTTCCTTGTTTAACTACTTAGTGGGTGACAGTGCTAATCAAAAGGACTGGATGGCTAGTAAGATGATCGGTTGTTGACAGCAGATGAACAGAACGTGTCAAACTGAAATGCTTACAAGCAAAAAGGAAAAGGAGTGATGCTTCTTCTTTTGATCAAATGGATGAAAGTTTGTGATTTTCTCTTTAATGGCACAGTTCGTAATTAAAATCTTGGTATTCTTTACTTGTAATAGGGCATATATCACAGAGATTTTTCTGACAGCTTTTGTTTCTATTCCCATTTCTTCTAAGGTAAAGGTGAACGAACCACATCTGTAATTACTCAGGAAAGTCCTCCTTGTTAAACCAGGGTATAAAAAGTTTCGAAAATGAGACTTAAGCATTATTGAATCATAAGAAACAGGTGTTCAACAATTTTGCCCCATGTTAATGGCAGTAGCAAATAGTTCAGCCAATAAGTGAAATTTCATAGGATCTCAACTTCTTGTTGAGTTCATTTACCATGGTGTATATTTAACTATTTCTTAGATAATTAATAAAGCTTTGATATATGGAAAATATACAGCACTTTACAGATACTTTTTAAATCATGAATATACTTTTTTATGAAAACCAACACCTCTGAAGTTTAGTAATACCTGAATGTTCTACTACTGGAGGAAATAATATAAGAAATATTGAAATAACTTGAAATTGTAAGTTTAATTCTAGTTGCCTGAGCATTTCAGCCTATTATCCTTCATGTTAGAGTTTGTAAACATGGTGTCCATAGATCACTCAAGCTTATTGTAACAAGTATCCTGTATGTGCAAATGCAAAAGGAGGTAAAGGACTAAGGCAACCACAAAGAACATTCTAGCACTATGACTTTTCTTGTTTTAATAGGTCATTTACAAGGAAGTCATTGGCTCTAAATTATCTGATACTTACTCATTTCTCCATTTCAATTTGACTTCTGTTGTGAAATATCCAATGTGCAAGACTAAAATTTGTTGTAAACAATCCATGTTAACTTATTAGGCTTTAATGTTCTGCAGACATAGGTTCCAAAATCTCCCTGAATTGGTCACTTAAAATCTGTATGTCCCTAAACATAGTAGGTGTTCTACAAATATTTGTAAAATATAACAATGAGTGTTTTAAAGAGAGAAAAATAAAAACAATACAGAATTTCAAAACAAGATGATCAGAAATTAACAATGGTTATTATATTACATATTCTTATCTTCAAAATAGCTATTAAGATTGCCTGGTAAAATAAAGGAAGGATAAGTGAACCAGTATGAAACTTTAAAAATACAAATTAGACTAAAATGTTAATAGCCATTTGTCTTATAAAACATTATATAAGAAATTTCCAACATTCAGAAGTAGGAGGTTTCTGTATTAGCTTTCATTTATCTGTATATAAATTATAATAAATTTAATATTATTTAGCATTGGATTTTAATAGGTAGGAAGCTATGTACATAGATAAGTCAAAATGGAACTGTTATATTCAATTGATTTGTACTATATCATAAAAGCTGATTTTTACCCTGTTCATTCAGTAGAGCTGTCTATTTCAAGTCTTCCACCGTAGAATCACTTAAGATAGGCACAAGTGAAGAGCTTTATGAAAAGTTGTATTTGCCATAATCATATACAGACCTATGCAGCATAGATTTCCTTAGCTTCAAGATTCCTTACATCTTCTTGCATTATCCTTCTCAATTTCTCTCATCTGTATTTCTCTTAAGATTTCCTTACTGTTCTTTTTAGACATAAGCTCTAAATTTGTAGATAGACATTTATGACAGCAAACATTCAATAGTGTAGGCAGTATTTTAACATCTTAACATTTGAGAAATAAGTTATAAATGAAAAAATTAATTTTCAGTAATTTAGAAAGGTGCAGGAATGATATGAGCAGTGTAAATTTAATGCACTTAGAGGAGTATGTCCTGGTAGAGCCGTACATGGCAAGAGAACTTCAGAAAAGCTTGGGGTTTTCCATTGAAGAACCACAAGGCAGTTAGTGTCTTACTGTGAAAGAACCCAGGTAAAACTGCCTACCATGCAGCTTATACTGTAGATATGAATGATGCTCCTCAGGAGCAATAAAGAAGGAACAAAAGCCTGGGAGAGAGAAGGACAAATTTTTCTTTGGCTACTCACCATGTGGAAACTGCTGCCCTAAATAAATATGTTCTTAGTAACAAGAACATATTTATTTATTTCCTCTAGGTTTGGAGAATAGGCTGCTCAAGACCAAGTACTCACCATAAGCTAAACACAACATTTTATATAGAATATTTTATACTAGCATTGTGATTTAGTAAGAGTAATACTTCCTGGGGTGAATAATCTTGAATATGAACTGTTCTGCTAGGTCTATGACCATGGATGAAACTTTTTCAGCCTCACTTTTCTCATCTCTGCAAAGGCAAGATGCATGTTTGTAGACTGAAATAAGGCAATTGTAAAACACTTGCCATATCTGCATTAACATGGAAAAAAGAAAGAGATTTTTAAACAATGATATGTTTCTAAGCCAGTGTGAGACTTAGGCTCAGTGTGTATCATTTGTTTCAGCTGTTATTAACAGAAGATATCAATACATTTTGTTCAATACAAGTATTAATTAGATGCCATAAGCCCTACGCAGGCAGACTTATCTAGATTATAAGCTTATTTTCAAAAACTTTTATGTAAACCTGATGACTATCAATGAAGGGAGTGATTTTCCCTAAACTCACTGATAAAACTTGATTTTAATTATCTTTCCCATGAAGGAAAATAGTGAAGTAAAAGAACAAGGCTGAAAACTTCAGAGTTAGAACACACACATACTTTTCAGTAAATTTACATGAAGGACTTGTCAATTAATCTCAAATAGGCCAAGCAAATGCAACCATAAAATCATTTCACAAAGGAGTTCCCCAAACCAAAGGCTTATGTGGGACTCTTAAGGAAAGTCAGCTCACAAACCGCAGTTACAAAGGTTGCAAAAATATTGTCTTTGTCGAATCGACATTAGAACCTAATACAAAAAGATGACAGTACACTTAAGGAAGTTAGAGACGAGAGGATAGCCAGGAAAAAACTCTAAAAGAAGCGATTTGTCGCTCAAAAATAAAAAAGAATAGAATATAAATTTTAGAATTAGTGCAGCCCAGTTTGAAAAGTCATGGAAAGATGTGGAAAAAATCAAAAGTCCAGAAAGAAAAATTTGATTAGTAAAAATGATTCAAAAAGTAGATTTATAATAGAACAAAAGAACATATTATTCAAAAGATGTAGAGGAAAGTTTTGTTTTACTGAAAGTATTATAGGATGTGAAAAATACAATAAAATCTCAAACATACATATGATAGAGGTGCAGATTGCAAAAGTGGGGTGCATGGCAGAAAGATCTTATTTTATTATATGTAGCTACAATTTCATAAAATTGAATAAATTTTATCTTGCATGAGTCCTCGCATTGAATACAATTTCATAAAATTGAATAAATTCTAACTTGCATGAGTCCTCACATTGAATACAGTTCTATATCTGTGAAAAACTAAAAGTGAGTCCACAGCTCACTGTCAGTGAAACTCGGACATCAAATGATCAAGACGGTATCATAAAAGTTGCTGAAGACAGAAGACTGAATGCTTGAAGGTAACAATATCCATGGCAGACATTTCATAAACAATAGCTATTAGAATGCATCAAATTTGGGAAGATCTTCATAATGCTAGACACATTTTCCAATACCAGGTAAACTGTGATTCCAGGATGAAGACAAATATATTCAAACATACAAACAGTATTATATAAAGTAAAACAAATGTAATTCACTATTGCTAAAAGTTTTAACAAATGTTATACTTGAGGAACAGGGAATTTAAAAGCAAACGAAGGATAACGCTATTTTAAAAAGTTTTATAAATGTTTTCGACATATAAGAAAGGAACACGTTAAAATGTCTTGTGGAAATTTACTAAAATGCTGGTGTAAGTGCAGCAAAGGAAAACACAGGTACTAAGAAAACAGAGACTTTTTAAAACTGATCTTACATGAAGAAGGATATAATAGGGCTGGCCAGATAGCTCAGGGGACTAAAGTGCCTACTTAGGCAGACTCAGGGACCGGGTTTGATCCTTAGTGTGCCCTGCCTGCCCTGACCATGGGCGTGTTGAGATGAGAGTGAGACTGGGTGTGCTGGTGCATCTGTAATCCCAGCACTTGGGATACTGAAAACAGGAGGGTCACTAAGAGTTTGATCTATGTAGAAAGACCCTGAACACCCTGTAGACCCTGTACCAAGTACATAAAAACATAAAGTATACAATCCCCTGAATTTCAGTATATTCACAAAGTTGTCCAACTTTCAACACAATCAATTTCATATAGTGTTACCCAAAAAGAAGCCATATAACCTTTCGCACTCATTCTTCGTTTTTCCTCCCTCCACAATTCTGTTAGTTCTTATATGTGACTGTTTAAATTGAATATTGTTTTATTAGAGGCAGCGAGTGTGTATGATAAACT